TCTGAATATTTGATTAAAATTTTATTATTTTTTGAATATTTTTTTTATTCTTTTTTGAATATTTTATTAAAAATTGTTTATTTTATTCAAATTCTGATCATTTTTAAATAATTTTCTGAATATTTGATGAAAATTTGATTATTTTTTGAATATTTTTGATTCATTTTTGAATACTTAATAAAAAAATTGTTTATTTTCTGATTATTTTTAAAATTGTGGTTTTAATTCAAATTTTGAATATTTTTCAATTTTACTTGAGAAAAAATTCATTTTTTTTTATAATTTAGTTCAGAATTTGATTATTTTGATTTTTTTGTTTTTTTTACTTTCAAAAATAATAATTTTTTTTTAACTATTTTATTTGCAAATTTGATTTTGTTTTTGCAATTTAACTTTAGGAAATATTAATTTTTTTTTGTAATTATTTTTTTCAATATTTGATTATTTTGCAATTTTATTTTCGAAAATATTAATTTTTAATTATTTCTTTATTCATAATTTTATTATTTTTTCAATTTTTCTTGGGAAAACTTGTGGGAAAATAATCATTTTTTGATTATTTCACACAAATAATCGATTATTTTCCTCTAAAATCGCCCCTTATGATTTGCCCCTTGGCTCAAATCACCCCCAAACTACCCCCAAACCCTCGTCATCAGCGCGCCTCGCAGCAGAGCACAAAAGCTCCGACAGATGCTGAAGAGAGAATTACAATTGTCTCGTCTTGTTCTCGTCTTATTTACCGTGTTTCTCGAGCGGCTGCGGAGGAAAAGCCAACACTCGGCATTTCACGCATTTCCCCCCGATGATTTCCACCCTGTCACCGCACACACACACACGCATTGTTCCCCGGGTCCTTGCGAATCCCTTTTCGCCCACGAGGAAAGAGTCCCATTAATAACATCTTTAAGATACACGGAAAAACCCTCAGTGGAAATTATATCGCGAGTGGATTCCAGCTGAACATCTCTTTCTTTGGTTATCACCAGTGTTGTGCCTTTACATGGTAAAAAATACCTCTTTACATTTTACACGTAAAGAATATGTAAAAAATGTAAAATGTAAAGTAAAATGTAAAATGTCAAGTAAAATGTAAAAATTCTTTTCTGAAGTTTAAAAACTACTGAAATTCCCGTGGAATTCCCGTGGAATTGCAGAAAATACTTCTTGTCAAATACGCCGAGAAGTTGCAAAATTGTAAACAACAGTGAAAACTCAGGAAAATCTGCAAATTGTTGGCATAAATTGAGTAAGATAAGTTAATAATTCAAGAACTGATGTTCCAATATATTTGTTTGATGGATTATCGAAGTTTTACTCTAAATTTTACAAGAAAATTTGCTAACTGAACGTATTTTTCTTGTATTCTTTTCGAGGTGCTTCTGCTGCCGATTAACCATCGAGGAAAACACCAAGCAAGGAAGAAGAAAGTCCATCCAGCAATGAAAAGGTCTGTAGAAATGTCGGATTGCATTTTATGAACTTCATTCTTTGGATTTTGGGCAAGAGAAGACGATTTTCATGCCGATTGCCGAACATTTCGTTGTTTTTTGGCGAATAAAAACCACTTTAATCACACTTCAGTCTTCTGACAAGCGCTTCTGACATCCCAGGAACGCCATAGACGCCCGCAGGATATTCTTCGATGGTCAATTCCTAACTAAAAACGGCTCTTCAGAGATCATCTTCACATTCCTGGACAGAAAAGGACAATGTGACAGTTGCTTATTATGCTTAATCCAGAATGCACAGCGGGAAAAACCAATGTTTAGCAAATATCTTGGCATGAACTTCAAGGATTGCAAGAGATTAAAGTTTTGCCTAAGAATCATAAAACCGAGAAACCTGAATGCACATTTTGGTCTTAATTGCCTAAACGAGGGAAGAAAAAATTCACAAAACTCTTAATGATTTTGGCTTCATGGAAAAAAAACGCCTGAAGTAAATTTCCGTTATTAACGAATGTTCGATTCGAAAAATTGAACCCAATTTTCGTATTTAACATTTTTTCTTTACATGTTAAAAAAAAAATGTGTGTAAAGAAAACATTTTTTACCATGTAAAGAATTGTGTAAATGTAAAAATGTAAAAAATTCGCCCAACACTGGTTATCACGACAAGTTGAGGAGCACAAGAAGAATTCTTGTCAGTAGATAAAAAGCTCACACATTGCGCTCGAGGGAGCTTTTTTTCCTCCAACTGTAAAATTGCGATGGGAAGAAAAGAGTTGAGAAGAAAATTGTTGGAAAATCAAGTGATTCTGAGAGAATTTCATGTAAGAAATGTTGTTTGTGTTGAGATTTGAAATTCTGGGATTGCTTTTCATCATCGCCAAAAAAAAAGAAGAAGAAGAAGAAGAAGAAGAAGAGAAAAAGCTTGAAACAAGGGGTGAAAAATTATGTACAATTGCTTGTAAATCTGTTCAACTTTATTGATAAAATCAGATAAAATACACTTTACATAATTGTTCAGCTCGTATGGCATGGATCAAATCCAAATTCTAGTATGTTATAGCTGACCTTAAGACCTTTCCAACGAACCACCACGTAAGGACCTAAGTCCTTTCAAACCCTAGATATAAAGGTTCAAATTTTTAAACCTTAAACGGCCATAACTCCGCTTCTAATTAACCGAATTGAATAATTTTGAGCTCATTAGAAAGGTTTCGTAAAATGCCATCTCCCATCTAAACATTATAATTTGGTAGAACCACCGCTAGAGTCGCTAAAGTCGAGAAAACCATTTTTTAAACTTTAAAATTAACTTTCTTGAAAAGTAGGCTGTGTATTTTCTTTAAATTTTAATATGTTATAGCCGAGGTCGAGACCTTTCCAACGAACCGTTACTTTTAGGGCCCTATTAATTAGGAGTGAAGATATGGAAGGTCAAAGTTCACACTTTTATCGGCCTTTATCTCCGGTGTTTATCAACCGATTTTGATCATCTCTTCAGTAAAAGACGTGTCTCAATGCCCTTTAGTAGGCCATATTCATTATTACTCTGTGACGTCATGACAAATGCTGCCATATTGAAAAACCTTTGAACGCCTGTATCTCTGCAACTTGATCATAAATTTTCTTTAAATTTTAGTATGTTGTAGTTGAGGTCGAGACGTCTCTAAAAATAGGTTATAGTTTTATGTGAATGCAATAGAACCGGAGTTATGACGGTTTAAAGTTTTAATGTTAAATATGCTATAACTTCGGTTCTCTTTATCCGATCGTTACGATTTTGGGCTCGTTGGAAAGCTCTTACAAAACTCTACGACTATTTAGAACAACAGAAGTTCATCAGACCACCGCCAGAGGCGCTAATGTGAAAAACATAATTTTTGAAATTTGGAAGTGAAAAATTTTGTTCCAAAGTCACACTATTTTTGGATAATTTCTTAAGTATTTCGATAGTACAGATTGAGACGTTTCCAAAATGGGGTCAAACTTTACGATCGAAGCCATAGAACCAGAGTTATAATTGTTTCAGGAAAAAAATGCATTAATCAAAACTGTTTCAATTCACTTCTTTGCTCAAAATGACGATTGCAAGCTCAGGGATTTAATAAAAAAATTTGATATTGTATAAATTCCCGTGTAGTGAATAGACATATCATTTCCCCCTTGAATTAATTGGCTTTGATCAAGGGGAAAGTCACTCGCGCAAGTTGAGACCATTAACTTTATGATTATTTAATCATTTTTATGATTATTTGTGATTATTAATCAAATTTTGATAATTTTTTTTTTTATTTTTACTGAATATTTGATGAAAATTTGATTTTTTTTTGAATATTTTGAATATTTTTTCTGAATATTTTATTAAAAATCGATTATTTAATACAAAATTTTGATATTTTTAAATTATTTGATGAAAATTTGATAAAAATTTGATAATTTTTTTTGAATATTTTTGATTCTTTTTTAAATATTTAATAAAAAATTGTTTATTTGATACAAATTCTGATTATTTTTAAATTATTTGTGATTTTAATTCAAATTTTGAATATTTTTCACTTTTACTTGTGAAAAAATTCTTTTTTTTTAATTATTTAGTTCAGAATTTGATTATTTTGATTTTTTTTCTTTGTTACTTTACTTTCGAAAATAATAATTAGATTTTTAATATTTTATTTGCGAATTTGATTTTTTTTTGCAACTTTACTTTAGGAAATATTAATTTTTTTGTTATTATTTTATTCAATATTTTATTATTTTGCAATTTTATTTTGGAAAACATTCTTTTTCTGATTATTTTATTAAAAATTTGTATTTTTTCACAACTTTACTTTGGAAAAGATTCCGTTTTGGATAATTTTTTTGTTAAATTTGATTATTTTTCAATTTTATTTGAGAAAATATTCATTTTTTGATTATTTTACTCAAATAATCGATTATTTGATTTGAGAACATTAAGTTTCCTCTAAAATCACCTTGTGATTTGCCCCTTGGCTTTGATATTAATTATCACTGAATAAAGCACTAAATCAGTAGATTTACAGCATTTTGATTGTACAAAGCAAAATTACCTGAGCGTTATTATTTGAAAGCGCTTAGCGAAGACGTCAACCTCTTTCGGAAAATGTCAGCAAGACAGCAATCATGCGAACACAGCGCCATGCTTGATTGAGTAGCGCACTCGCATTAAACTGTATAACACTGCAAATGTCATGGTTTCTCATGAGAAAAAGGGGTGAAAGAATCAAAATACACTAAGAATTTTGAGCAATAAGCACACTTTCGGCCTGTTTGTCAGTCTAGATTAGTTTGAAGCATTTCTTTAAGCGCAATTTCCATGGAAAAATCCCCAAAAATCCCCTTTTCGCTGTTATACGGCGGCAAAAGAGCGCCAAAGCGCTGTGTGACAGTGGCTGGCATGCCAGCGTAGTGAACTGTCATCCACCGACGAAGATTGTTGGATGTGTCATTCCGAGTGTTCGCTTTCCGTGGTTCGGATCTCTTGTTCCATCACAAGCTTGTTGGATTTTCAGTGAAAATTCTCGCAATAAAACCACCCCCAATTGTCCCCAACACACCCCCACCGGTCGTGTGTCCAAAGTGTGGTGAAAAGGTGGTGAAAATTGTTGGTTTTTCTCTGTTTTTGTGCGATTTTTGTGGTGCTTTTTCGCAAAAGAAGAAGAAGAGGTGCATTCAGTCAGCGCCCCTTGCGGCGCCGTGTGCAAACCCAACAACAGTGTGTGTTTTGAGGAAAGGAGAAGAAGAAAATGCAATTTTCCCTTCTGCATCTCATTGTGGAGTGATTTTGGCAGCGGAAGTGAAGAAATTGGTGATTTTGTGAGTGTGTTCTTGTGTCGTGAAGAAGATGCCAATGGGCGGTGTTTGGTGCTGAAAGTTCTCAATCAAACACACACACACACAAAACAGTGGATTTGACGCTTTCTTGTGCCTTTGAGAAAGTGAGTTTTTCGCGTGACACGCACGCCATCCGCTTGATGCTGAGCCACACAGTCATCGACGACTGGCAATGACATTCCGCGCCCGCGAAGTGCAGTGAAATCTCCCTCTTGAGCGCTTGTCTCTCTCTCTCTCTCTCCACCCCAGCGACGACTCTGCGCGCCCCTCAGACGCCACCCAGACAACCGCCCAGACACCCTCAAAGCAGCGCCCCTCAAGAGATGCGCGAGTTCAAGGTCGTGGTGCTGGGCTCCGGAGGCGTGGGCAAGTCCGCCCTCACCGTCCAATTCGTGTCCGGATGCTTCATTGAGAAGTACGATCCCACAATTGAGGATTTCTACAGGAAGGAGATTGAGGTGAGTTGACCGAACTTTCGCAGCTCCCCAAATTGCCCATCTTCTTCTTCACACGCGCGCTCTCCAGCGCAAATTGCCCATAGAAATGCCCGCTTTCCGGGAGTGAATCTTTCTGGGCGAAAGTCAGTGCAATTAACCCATTAAACAACGTCGCTGTCAAAGCGCTGAAGAGCAATTTTCCATTGAAGATTGAGTGTGTGAAAATCCTCTCAAGAAAGATTTCTGACACACAGAATAGGAAATATATATATTTTTTGCCAGTTGAAGTTCAATGAAAAACCATACAATTTTAGGTGGTTTTCGACTGGGTCTCATTCCACGGTGTGTCGCTCCCTCCGAGGCGCTACCCGTCCCAGGATCTAGGGTCCACGGGTTTCCTAGAAGTGCCCGAAGAACTTTTCGCCCCATTTCATTGGGGGTGGTCCGGGGGATGGGGTGATTTGGGCTGTTAGAAGCAGAAAAAGACCCTAAAAGAAGTGCTTAAGGCCAGGATTCAAGGATGGTATCGGGGTCAGATAGCCCAATTATGCTCAAAAGGCTTCAGTCAAGCTCTATGAAGGAGTTTGTGGCCATTGGGCCCCCCAACCCCAATGCAGAGGACCCATATTGGGCAATCACGTAGTACTAGGCAAAGACCTTTAACAGTGCGGTCCACGGAGGACCGAGGCGGGGTGTGGCGACGGTAAATGGTTTCTGGGTTCAAAATGAAGGATCCTTGTGATTTTCAGAATTTTCCGATTTTTTTTCACTGAGATATAGTGAAATTTCCCAAGTGGAGCTACAATTAGTGCCAACGCAGAAAGTGATAAAGTTCCCTAGAATCCCTAGGATCCGGCGGTGGGGCCTCATATTGGGGGTTTTGTTTAGGCTATGAATAGGCAATCAAATGCCATATTTGATATTTTTTGATTTTGCCCCAGAATAACCTACAGTGGAGCTATAATTAGTGCCCACGCTGTAGTTTAGATTGAAATCGTTGGAGGATGCTCAAGTTTGACTTGCAAGTTGAACCCCACACTTGGATGCCATATATCCAAATAGGCTTGATGACAGATTTGTACACGAGAACTTTTGAGCGAAGAGGTAGACTAGAGTGGCGGCCGAGGAGCCAGAAGAGCTTTGCCGTGCGCAGTTTAAGTTGAGTCATCTTAGTAGTTATTTGATGCTTCCAAGTGAGTCTCCTGTCCAGGTGAATCCCGAGATATTTAACATGAGTCTGCTGAGGGATCCTTGAGCCGTTCAGGGACACAGCCGGGCAGGATCTCTTTGTTGAGCGTGAAGGTGATATGAGTGGATTCACTGCCCTGATGGAGTCATATCTTGTAAATCGAAAGTTTCGGGTTTATCAACAGTCGGAGCTGTCTGAGTTGAGACCAATTGAGGCTGGGGCGTCCCACAGGGAAGTGTTCTGGGGCCAATCTTATACCAGATCTACACTAGAGATTTGCCCACGTTGACGTACGTCACCACTGCCACTTATGTTGATGACACTGCAATCATGTGCTCACATAAAAACCCAAATACAACCTCCAGGGAGCTCCAAGAACATTTGTGGGATATCCAGAGATGACTTTCTCAGTGGCGCATAAAGAATAGGAAATATGACAGAAAAATACTATAACCCTATGGGGAAAATCCATGGAAAATTCCTCGGAACTCCGTTGGATCAATAAGGAAAATCCTATGGAATTCAGCATGGAAGATTTCATGCTGAATTCCATAGGAATTTGGATGCTGATAAACTTAAGTTGATCGAAATATTGGTAGAATTTTGTCAGAGCTTTTTAACGAGTCCAAAATCATTATGATGGGATCAACAGAACTGAAATTACACGTATTTAAAGTTAAAACTTTAAACCGATATTACTCCAGTTCTACTGCATCTGTGAAAAGTTATAACCTATTTTTAGAGACATCCTGACTTGAACTACAACATGCTAAAATCTCATCAAATTTCACAGAAGATTTGCCGAGATACAGGTGTTCAAGGTTTTTTTTTAATATGGCGCCGTCACTGATTATATGACAGGTTAATGGAGAATAAAGTCTACTTAAGGGCATGTAAGCACGTCTATTTAAAGAAAGTCTAGAAACGTTCCTTACAAGAGATTTGACATTGAATGATCAAACATCGTTTTTGCGACTTTGGCGCCTCAAGTAGAGATTTCACCAAGTTATAATGTTTAATGGCGGACAGAAGAGTGACAGATTGGATTTGACAACATCGCACATTGATATCTCTTGTCAATGAGTGAAACATGACAAAATGATCTGCTTTCTCATCATATTTCATCATATTTAGCCTTCCTGAGTCCATTTTTCCATTTTTCCGAAGTGCTCGGAAGATTCAGAGTGTCTCTTTGGCCACACACAATTCCCGGAATATTTGTGCATTCGAGCCACTCAAGTGTCGCAAAGAGTGTTCAATGACTGGCGCGCAACAACAAAAGAACCAACGCCAATGCAGCAACGGAAATGAAGCGCACAACACGCGTCTTGTACGCCAAGCGCGTTGAGGTGTTGAGCGAAATACAACAACAAAAAAAACATGCAAAAATCAACTCAACATTTTTACGTAACATTTCCCGAAGTTTGAAGCAAAAGAAAAAGCTGCAATTCACAGCAAAAATCGACAAGAGAGAAACTCATCGGAAATTTGCAGTGTGTGTGTGTTTCCAATTGACTGAAATATGGAGTGGGAGACGATTAAGTAACAAGAGGATTTTTGTGTGCCATTTATCGCGGATTTATCAATTCTGTCTCAATCCACCGAAAAAACATCATCGATAAATTGGGAAAATTTCCAGCGATGGCGCATTAAAACCGTGCGATTTTCGTGGAATTACTGTGATTTCACCTCATTTTGGGTGAGAATCTCTGTGACAAAGAGAGAGAGAGAGAGAGAGAGAGAAAGGGAAAGCCGTGCTGACATAAATTGAAAAAAGAATAAAAAATCATCGGTAACAGGAATTTTCCAGCAATGGAAAAGCATTAAAATTATCTTATTTTAATCAAGTAAAATTAGAAGAATTTTCTCAATATTCAGCAAAACATCAAACATAATCAAGGGGGAGATAATACAGTCTGAAGTGGTGTACAATTCAATTAAAGTCTTTGGAAATGAAAATGCTTGAATATTTATCAATTGGATGCATTTAAAAGTCATTTTAAAAAGAAATCACCGCGATTTTTGGAGAAAAGAATTGTTTTTTGCAATTTTCTAGGTTATGTTATGAATTTAAGACAAACTTTATCACTAAATAACCTCAAAAATCACTCATTCTTTCGCTTAAGCTGGTTTAATTTTGAATTTTGTTGAAAACTACAAGATTTCAATGCGAAACTATGTTAATTACACTAAAATTGACACATAACCTCAAAAATACTGTTTCAAGATACGAAATTGTCTATTTTAAGAGCTTTTTGATTGATTTTTCTACTCTAAAATAGTTTAATATTCCCCAAATTTGCCTCTAAAACATTCCGAAAATGGATTTTTTCAAGGATTCTTTCAAATACCTCAAGATATTTTATAGGTTATGTTCCAAAATGCATCCAAAAGAGCGATTTAAAGTTAAATCATATCAAAAAATTCACTGGAAACTTCAAATACATCTAAAATACTGTTTTTCTCTGAGTTTTGAAGGTTATAAAAGGTAAAAAAGGCGTCTTTTTGGGTCAAAGACTCCTAAATTTGAGGTTATGTTAATTTAAACGGTTGAAAAATAAGGAAAAATCATATTTAAAGCACTGGAAGTGTTAAGGATTTTTCACGGAAATTGTTGTACAGATTTTAGCCACATTATCTCCCCCTTGAACACAATAATTATGATTTTCCCGATAAAAATCATTCAATTGAGAATTATAAAAGAAATTTCTTAATAAAAAGGCATGAAAATGAAGGGAATAAATCAGAAAACGAAGCCTTAAATACAATTTTAAGTTATTAAAAATCTGTTCGAGTGCTTTAAAAGTATTTCAAACTATTTAAGAGTATTTCAAAAGGTCCAGTTTCAGTTGTTTTTCTAAAAAAAGGTTTAGACCAGGGGGGAAATATACAGAAAGTGCTTGAATATTTGTAATATTAAGCGTTTCAGAGCTTCTTTCAAAGTAAATTAACACTCAAATTTGAATAATTCATATTCTTTAACGTTAATTTGCGCTAAAATTGAATCATAACCTCTAAAATATTGTTTAAGGATACGAAATTGTCTATTTTAAGAACTTTTTGATTGATTTTTCTACTCTAAAATATCAAATTTAAGCTCATTTTTGATTAGTTTTGCCTTTAAAAGATTCCAAATAATTTTCTTTCAACGGTTCTTTGAGATATTTCAAGGTAATTTTTAGGTTACTGTTTGTCTGTAAGTTTTTTTTCAAGGTCAAATAAGTAAAAATTGAGTATTTGAGAAACAAATGACGATAAAAATGTGAGGTTATGATACTTAATGAGGTTAGAAAAATCTATAAAGTGTTCCGCAAAAGGGGAAGAAAATAAGGAAAACGCATGTTTTAAGTCAGTGATGAAGTTCTGGAAGTGTCTGTGGAAATGTCAAGAGCCGTCTTATCTCCCCCTTGATTTAGACTTTTCTGTTTAATAGAAGTTTTTCTTCCATTTATACTCCATTAACCTGTGACGTAATCAGTGATGGCGCCATTTTGAAAAAACCTTGAACGCCTGTATCTCGGCAAATCTTCTATGAAATTTGATGAGATTTTAGTGTGTTGTAGTCCAGATTAGGGCGTTTCTAAAAATAGGTTTTAGTTTTTTGTGGATGCAATAGAACCAGAGTTATGACGGTTTAAAGTTTTAACTTTAAATACACTTTAATTTGGGTTATATTTATCCGATTGTTACGATTTTGGGTTCGTTGGAAAGCTCTTGCAAAACTCTATAAACATTTCGAACAGCTGAAGTTTATATGACTGCCGCTAGAGGCACTTAAAGTCAATAATATTATTTTAAAGTAAAAAAAAACTGTTTCAAAGTCAATATATGA